AAACTTTTGAACAGATAACAGAGGCTTAGTAAGAGAAGGAGCATGCAAGACACGATTTAAATAAAGAGGACGAAAACGATGGCAAAACAGTTGACCAACATCTTGAATAGGTAAAGCATCTCCATTACCAACTAAAATATGATCCGTACCAGTATAATCATTGGAGATACTGAGAGAGGACAAATCTGGCGTGACATGATCGGTAGCACCAAGTGTCCGGATGCCAGGGAGTGACAGAAGGGGCATACTGTGCCATATGGGCTTGAGGAGACATAGTCGACTGGGTAAGACGGAAGAGGCAACAAACCAGTGAAGGCGGTGCGGAGAACCTACTGGCATAAGCGGCCGACCGAACGGCGGGGGTTGAGGAACAAAATTAGTATCAAAACGGCGTCGACAAGTGGCGGCCGTGTGATTCAAGATGCCGCAAAGGCGACACGTCTCACCGGAGCGGGAGGAGTGTACCACGCCGACCACCACCACGACCGGAATCCTAATTGCGCCGGCCGCCGCGTTGCAGCGACCGGCACGAGAGGATTGAGGCGGCGTAGGAGAAGGTGGCGGCCGCACAAGCATGGCCGTGGGGTGAAGGACCAGCTGTTGGGCGTGAAGAAGTACCTCATACGAAACTAACTGTCCAAGGAGATCTTGATAGGAGGGGGTTCGGATCATTGTTGCAGAGCTCCGATGATGCCATTGAATTCGGCACCAAGCTTGCGGAAGATTATGGCATTAAACTCCGCAGAGATATGCGATGGCCGGCAAGCCGCCTTGTATCGGCGATGCCCTTCGCTTTGGAGAGGAGAGCCGTGACCGACAAGTCACCTTTTTGCAAGTGTGGAGCTCCATAACAAGTGGGTCTGTTGAGCATAAGAAAGAGTGCCGAAACCTGTGAAGAGCTGTCCATGCAGCCGCCGACGTTGTGCAGCCCTGGAGAACGGGAAAGATCTCTTCAGCAACGGAAGAAAGAATCCAAGAGAGGACCAACTGATCCTTTTGCTGCCAGATATCAAACTCAGGATTGAGTTGGGGCACGGAACCACTAACGGAAGGAAGAAAACGTGGCGGTGCAGGTTCGGTGCCGTCGACAATACCGGCAACACGAAACATAGTCAATAAAGGAGTAAACTGAAGATGCCAAGACGAATAGTTGGCCCGAGATTGCAGCTTCACAGTAAAGGAATGATTAAGAGACTGTAGACTAGGTTGAAGAAGTGATACGGGTGTCTGTGAAAGAGGTGCCGCCGGCCGGAGGTGGGTAGCCTGGTCGGTGGATGACAGGTCGGTGAGAGTCATCGTCGAAAGAAAGCACGCAAAACCGAATAAGGCTCAATTTGTTTTTTGTTTTTTTTTTTTGTTTTTGTTTGTTTTTTTTTTCTTTCTTTTTTTTTTTTTTTTAAGTGGCCGAGAATCAAAAAATTCGACGGCAACGAAGAAGAAGCACGCCGACAAAGAAGAAGCACGCCGGCAATCGAAGAAGAACGGCAGCAGCAGAAAACAAAAATTCGACGGGGAGAAGAAGAAAGGAGGAGACGGCAGCAGCAGCAGCAGCAGGCGGCAGAGGGAGTACGCACGGCGATGCTGAGCTTGGTCGACAGGGAGAAGCACACGCCGGCGAAGAAGGAAAGAGGCCAACTGTGAACGGCCGACGACGAAGAAGGAAGGATTCGGCCGACGACGGCGGAAGAAAGAGGCCGACGACGGCGGATGGGGTGTGAACGGCCGAAGAAGAGGGATTCGGCGGGTGTGAACAGTGGGACGATGGCAGCACGAGAAGAAGGACCAGAGTGTAGCGGCTGTGTGTGGCGGCAGAGGGAGTACGCACGGCGATGCTGAGCTTGGTCGACAGGGAGAAGCACACGCCGGTGAAGAAGGAAAGAGGCCAACTGTGAATGGCCGACGACGAAGAAAGAAGGATTCGGCCGACGACGGCGGAAGAAAGAGGCCGACGACGGCGGATGGGGTGTGAGAAAAGAAAAAAATAGGTTTTGTTAAACCTAGCTCAATACCAACTTAGAATAGGGAAATTGTATTAGATGTATAATCTATTGTACACAATATACAGACTATATATAGACAATATGAAACCCTAAACTAGAACATAATAGGAAATATACTAAATATTACAATACTGCATTATTTTTAATACATTTTTATCGTTGAAATTAGACTATTTTTATGTGACCATGCATTTGTTGATTACTAAATGACACTGCATCTTTGCGATTTACATCATTAGGTTAAGGTAAATTAATCGAAGTCAACTTCCGTTTTGCGCAATATTGTGGAGCATCACATGCCCTTCAGTAATAATACTATATATAATTCATTGCTGAGTTGGAGGAACTTTGCAGTTACAAATTATAATTAATATACATATGTATATTAATTTAATATAAAAATGACTTCTTAAGGTCGTCGATTGTCATATATAATCCCTATAAATAGGCCCAAAAAATGAGAAAACGAAATGCTCAATTTCAATTCCTGTCTTTGTTTCTGCAAACACTAGAATCATCTCGATGATGATGACTATGAAGAGCTCAGGCGCCTTAGGTTGTGCTTCGGTCGTGGCTCTATCACTACTTGTCACAGTCTTAGGTGAGTCTTAATTAGTTGATTCTTTCTTTTCTTTTTCCTTACTAGAGTTGTTCATGTGTAATATGTACTTCCCGTCCCATAATTATTGTCTAGTTTGTGTTTTCATTTCTAGTTCAAATTATACTAAAATTGAAATCTCAAATTGGACAATAATTTTAGGACAGAGGGAGTATATTTTATTTGTCCCAAGAAATAGCTCACTTCACTATCTTAATATTTTAGTTTAATGAATGAAATTATTTTTCTTGAATGTAAAGTAAATTATTCATTCTGTTTCAAAAATTTTTAAGATTTGTATTTTGTCATTATTTATCTAAACCGTGTTTTGTCATTATTTATATCATGTTACTATTATTTAATAATTGATGAATTTGTTTCTTTTTGGTGTGTGGACTCACGCAGCGGTGGTTTCAACAACGTCGAAGGTGGATGCCCATGATTTTTCTTCAGTTGTTGGGTCGACAAAAGTGGGTATTTTGGGCACGGGGATTTGCCCTGGGCCTGAATTCTGGGAGAAGAACAAATGTAGACTTCGACACCCGGAGGATTGTTGTATTGGAAGAACTTGTGGTCTTAGCAGCCGTTGCTGTTCTGGTTTTGGGGAAGAATGTCGAACAGTTGAAGACTGCTGTCGCATTCCTAAAGTCTCAACTAGACCAGGCGGCACTCTAAACTTTAACGGCCCAAGTTATCAGTGTCGCCAAGGGAGGTGTTGCTCCGGCTTCAGCCACGCTTGCAGAACCAGCTCCGACTGCTGTCCCAACGGACCGTATTCTGGCGATCCCAATGCCGACCCAAACAAACAAATGGAATGTTACGGATACGGAGGCCCTGGGAAGCCTGGATTCTGTCGTTATTCTTGAAAATCTCGGGCGAAAAATTCTACAGTCCAGTTGACTGGATGGTGCGTTTTAGTTGGTGATTTTGTCACGCTACTAGATATTCTTGCCATCTTAAAGACTTGTTTGAACTGTCATTATTGACTTCACTTCCACATGTAATGTGTTTTCTTTTTTTCTTTTTTTTTTCCACCTGCTGTGTTATCAACTGTGCGATGGAGCATTCAAGCTCGATCTTTTTGTGTTTCTGTTTTTCATTTTTAATTCCTTCCTCAACGGAATGTAAGTTTGAAGTCACGAAAAGGTCTCATATACGTTCGTTGCTTTGAATTAATTAATTAATTAAACTTGTCATTCATTATTGTCTCCCTATCCTACACAAAATCCTTTTTTTTTTTTTTTGGACAGAATGAGTAACATTTTCCAAGTTTATAGGAACTAAAACTTGCTTAGCTATAGAGCTGGATTGACTGTACCGTTGAAAAGCGATTTATTATTATTATTATTATTATTATTATTATTATTATTATTATTATTATTATTATTATTATTTCTATTATTGGGTACAAAATAGGCACCAGTTTTATCTTATTGTCATCAATAAATTTAAAACCCATGCTCAAGATTTTTATTTTAAATTTTTTTTTAAAAAAACCTTTGTACCAGTAGAAAAAGAAAAACAATTAATGCATTTATCATCACCAACAAATAAATCTGTTCTTCGCAACCAACATATTTGCTAGAGATGCTCTGAACTATGTACTTTCCTTGCTCGTTACTCGTTAGGGGAACGTGGAAATTAAGTCAACTCTAGCTTTGCCCTTGATTCCAAAATGTGGCCATTTCTTTTTTCCCATTTATTTTCGTTTTATTCGTTGACAATCATACAATTGGTAAATGGAATTAGTCCGTACTACCTGTAAGAGATATGGGGAATAGTCTTAATAGTCTTACGACCAGCTGTTAGTAAGATATTGGGGAAATCATATGGACGTGCTCAACCATGAAAAAATGTACATACGTGGAAGGAAAATAAGTATTTTTCTGTTCTAAAATTATTGTCCAGTTTGTGTTTTTAATTTTAACATAAATTGTACCAAAAATAAATACCAAACTATAAAAAAATTCCAGAATGGATGAAATATTTGTTTCCTTCTATTTTTAGAGTGGTGACATTTTTATTTTTCATTATCAAGAAAGAGGCAAGATGAGAGCTCAACAATATCAATGACGTAGTCATGACAAAGTCGTGTATGCCCATTGCCCGGTCCTTTTAAAATCTCCACACATGGATACGGAAAAAGTTATTGAAATTAAGAAATGTTTGCAAAATTAGCTTGTTTATAGAATTGTGACGATTGAAATCTTTTTAAGTCAGCACTTCATTGTCTCACTGGTTATGAATGAATAAGGGTGTCTCTTATCAGTTTAATAATGCAATAATAACACTTTAATTTTAGTAAAATGACCTTTTTGAGTTAAACTCATAACAAAGAAATTTTGTGGCCAGAGAAAAGCTAAAGGATGATAACATTAGCAAATTTTCGCAGTACCTATAGGCTGTAAATAAGTTTAGCTCATAATGAACTTGTTCATTTATTAGTTATCCTTCCAATCATAATGATAAAGCACAAATTTATCAAATATATATATATATAAATTACAGCATGTATTAAACAATAATTTTTCGAAGTGAAAGATATAAATAATCACTTACTAGTAATAGTACTTACCACGTACATACAAGAGTCATAAGCTAATGGACATGTCATATTCATCAATAAGTTCTAAGTATGTTTACTAGGAATTAGAGGCAAGTCAACTTCATCACACCAATCCACCATCCTAGTCTCAAAATATGAAGCCTTCACATCATTTGGAAAATAACTCAACCAAACTTGAACCCCAATCCTCCACTTCAACACACTCCCTTCCATATCTTTACTCAACCTCCACCCTACACCACCGCCGCCGTTCTCCCCGCCGCCGCCAAACTCCTCCGCTCCGGCGAACACCACTCCACCACTCTTAGTAAAAGCCCTATTCCCTCCACTATACCTCCTAGCAAAATTATTTACCATCATCAAGTAATTACTATTATCTCCACCACCACTAGGAGGCTTCCACGTGGCAATCTCAGCGCCAGTTGTATTATCACACAAAATCCCATCAAAAACAGCAGCATTTCCATCCACATCCTGGTCCCACCTCCAGTTTTTCAGCTTTGTCTTGCTTGCCATTCTTGCCTTTCCCTTCACCTTCGGAACTTTCACCTTCCCCAAACTCCCTTGCAATATCTTCTGCATTTCTACCTCCCTCTCAACATTATCCGTGGACCGGCCCAAACTCAAGCTGCCCACGTAATTAGCCCCAACCTCAGGCCCAACCCAAACTCGAACCCGCGATGGAAAATGCTTCTCCTTCAGCAACACATCCTCTTCATTAACCTGGCTTCCATCTCCTTTGTTCTTGAATCCTAGTTTTACGACATGGAGTCGAATGTTGTCCAAATTAGCTTGAACTTGAATGAACCCGTCACAGAAAGCCGCCTTATATTCAAACTGAATCACGGCTTCGAGCTGCTGATGGGCTAAAGTGTATTTAAGCACAGATTCTTTAGGCTCAATCAACGTGTAGAACGGATTCTTCTCAACGTTCGGACGCCGGTTGGATACGACGCAATCCATAGCGTTGACCGGAATATATCCTTTCAGAATCCACATCCCGTGAGACTCCGTCGCGTAACTCACGCCGAGTTTGCTCACGCTTGTCGGCTTCGCCGGCGTTAACGCTCCCATTCCGATGTCCCGGAAAAGGAGAGATTTCGCCAGCATGTAACTGAAAGTCCGCATGAAACAAAGCTCGACGTCGGTTCCTACTGAGAGGAAGAAAGTTTTGAGAACCGGGGCGTGTTTACACGAAAAGGTTTCGAGGTTTGGGGAGAGTAATGAGCGGAAGTAAAGAGAGCCCACTTCGGATGGGGCTTCGAAGACGCATAACCAGAAGAGTCGGGTCAGGAAGATGAGGTTGAAGAAACTGGAGAATGATTCTTGGGAGTGGGAATCCAGGATCCACGAAACGGGTTCGGGTTTCAGGGTCTGGAGCTGCGAGCGCGGGCACGAGGAACAATCGTAACCCGGATAGTTGGGTGCACGTGAAATGATTTCTTGGAGGATTTGGAGGACGAGAGGCAAGAAAGGTTGATCTTGAGAAAGGTTACATTTCTCGGAAACCCAAAGAGTCGTTTCGGAACTCTTCGGGTCGGCTTCTTCATTACTGGGGGAGGAGGAGGAGAAGTACTGAAGTGAGAATGAGAGCAAGAGAGAAGCCTCTGATGAGTCGTCATCGGACGGTTTAGCCAATGTTCTCTCAGCTTTTAGCTTCATCGAATGGCGAAGATGAGTTGCGAGTTCGAAACTGAGTGAGTTTTCGCCGTTTTCATTCCAGGATTCCGATTCAGGAAGCTCACATATCCATGACCATACATCCATAATTACTGTATTTCTTTTTTGAAAGCTGAAGAATTCTGGTACTGGAGGGAGTATTGAATTAATGGTGGCTGTCTGGTTTGAAGATGATGAAGGCATTGTGGGGGATTATTATATACTTTCTCCGTTCCGAAATTTTTTCATTTTTAGTATAAATTTAACTAATAGCGAAAATCTAAACTGGACAATAATTTTAGGACGGAGAGATTAACTGGGAAATGGATAACAGGAAATGAGGTTGTGAGGTTTGGAGAGATTAATGGAGATGGTTTTGTCCGCGACGGTGGTTTTCTTTGTCTTGGAAAGGAAACTTGTGGTACAGGGAAGAGATTTGTGGCTGCATGAGTGACGGGAAGGCTTTGACGTTTTTGTTGTTTGCAATAAATTCAGCTGAGATTTTTACATGTTCTTATCCTTGTGATTTAAGAAAACTCGTACAATTTCTTGTGGATGCGGTTAATTTTTCACGTGTATTCGTTGTCGTATTTTATGGTTTTTCTCGTGCCTCTCATCAGCAAAGTCTTCACAGGTTTTGTTGTATTCTTAGAAATTAAATCATGATTTAATCATTATCATTGAGACAGTAGTTCTACATTGGGAAATAAAACTATTCCTAATCAAATGATTTTAGTTTTTTGGTCATGAGTGGAGAGGTTTAGGTTGAAATTACAACATTGCGCAGTGGTGTAATTTTGATCGATTCTAATAACCATGCAAAAGCCACTAATTTCTTTGGGAGGGCTGGCTTATGGGCTTGTAATGGATGAATAACTGTTACACTTTTGCGTTTCATTATATTCAGAAACACACATTTTAGCGTCATGGATTTTGATAGTGGTTTATCCAATAATTAGATAAAATAAAAAAATGAAAAATGATATGTGTTATAAAAAATATATATATATATATAGTGACCGATGTGTATTTCCTATTTTATTGCCACTTTTTCGTTAAAATTTTATTTTTAAAAAAAATTATAGTTTTATCCCTAATTATTATGTACACAGTGCACATCATTCACTGTACATTTTCACTCTATAACTTTCATTGTTTCTCTTATTATTGTAAAAAAAAAAAGAAAATATTTTTCTCAACGAATTATTTTTAACAACCTTTCACGAATCTGATGTGGAGAAGTAAACTGGGCCAACTAGCTGTCCCCACTCCGCTGTCCCATCGCATTTGCTTTTCTATTTTCTCTCACTTCACTTTCTTTTATATTTCTAGTAGGAAATATGTCCATCTAAAAAGGACTCCGTTTTTTATCATCTCTTCGGTCTTGCACATTTTAAAGGGACTCCATCTCCACCTCCACCTCCGTTTCTTCTTCAAAATCTTGGACAAGTCTTATTATCAGCAGACTTGCAGATCTTATTTTTTGAATTTTCTTTTTTACAAATTCAGCTTCTAGGGATGTATATTTATTTCTTTATCAAAAACTAATTCCAAAAGAGATAAAAATATAAGATCAAATTATCTTTTCTTCAACAAATTAGAATGTATCCCATCAAGAAGAACACGTTGGTCATCTTTTACCATGATGTGATGATCAAATCTTATCGTTCCATCATTATAATGGGATGTTAAGAGCATCTGGCAATGGATGGTCATGATACAGATATATTTCGGCCATTAAGTAGAAGTAGGACAGATCGGGTGGGCAAAAAATCCCTTGATATGCAACGCTTGTGAATCAAACGGATCGAAACATACAAAGAGAAGAGGAAGGTGATACTTTTGATTTTAGCCTTTCAGCTTCAGGGCAAGAGGAAGGGGGTGAAGTCCAGAGGAAGTCGATTGTGGTTTTTATCATATTGAAAAATAAATAAATAAAGAAAAGAAGAATGAAATGTAAAAAATAGAATACTCCCTCCATTTCAAAATGTAAGTCTTTTTAGATTTGACACGTAAATTAAGGAGACAATCATCCAACAATTAATTTATGTATTAAATATTTTTTTTACCCTTCATTAATTACATTGAAACTATAAACAAGACTAAACAAAAATATATTAGCATCATTTATTGAGGGTAAATTTGAAAATTAGTCATTAATTTGCCTAGAATTTGTAAAATTACGTACATTTTGAAAAATCTCTCCAAACCTAAAACGACCTATATTTTGAAATGGAGGGAATAGCTCAGTATCATATTAAGTGGGGCAACAAGGTGGGCCAAATCTCTTGTCCACGTTAGATACATGAAGGGTTGTTAAAATTAATTCGTCGAGCCTATGTAGATTAAAAAAAAATGGTGCAAACTCCGGAGAAACATTAGTTGAAGCATTACTGGTTCCAATACAATGTGAAAGAACTGAGAGTTTTTATTGTTTCAAACGATCATCCAATTCCATCGTAACACCAACTTGTTTCAATTTGACTTAAATATCTTTACTCACACATTAAACTATTGCATTTGATGACCCTCTGTCCGCTAAAGAAAGTTCAAAATTTTGAAGTTTGTATTATTATTGAGTTCTGAAATTTGTATTAAAAATAGTTTAAATCTCAAAATTTCATATAAAATATTATTATTATTATTATTTTGGAACAGAGTGAGTTTAGTAATAAAAAATACCACTTTAGAAATTTCATAGAAACTAGAGAACTGAAAAATAAATTTCCTAAACTGTGAAACAATCAGGGAACAATTCATTTTCAGACTAGTAGCGTCGGCAATACTGGTGAGATGTGAACTTAGAAGAGAAAAAAAGACTGATGGTCAAAGTAGGTTACTACACACTGGTGCATTCATTTGGCTAGCGAGTTTGTTCTATTATTGTCTTCGACCCTTGAAGGGTCCATAAAATTATAAGTACAGTATATCTTGTCATCTGATCTCCTTGACGAAGACGAGGCAGTCGGTAAAAAAATGAAGAAGGCGTTAAGAGCGTACGGGGAAGTGCTGAGGCTAGTGAGGCGACTTCCGGAGGATACGAGAGGTTACTATTCCAAATTCGCCCGTGAAAACTTCGTCAACTACCGTGACCTTGACCCCACTGATTCCCAGGCTCTTCAGGACCTCCTCCGTCGCGCCTATACCCATTCCCTCTGGGTCCTCAACAAGGTAAATACATATATACCCAACCAAAAAACCAAACCCATTTGATCATGCTTTTTTTATGATGATGTTATCTCTTTTTATTATAAATTGTTACTGATAACAACATGTTACGTTTTTAAATTCCTTTTGTTACAGTATTCGATTGATGAATCCGTCGCCGGGAAGCTTAAACGTGTTTGCGAGGTCTGAGAAAAGCTGCTGCGTGCAACCTGTTCGATGGAATTCCCCACCGAGCTTCGCCGAGAGCCCTTTTTAAATTTTTTTTTTTTTTATTTCTTCTTTTAAAAAATACGGATTTTGAAGAATAATAACGCAAGGCTGGATGAGTTCGTTTTGGTGATTTTGATGTAGTCCCATTAAGTTGTTTTTGTAAGTTTCTCAAAAAAAAAGAGCAAAGGAACCTTAAAACTGAAATTGCGCTTACTTTGTTGATATCCTCATATCTTGTTCTACAGTTTTCATGTTCAAAGTTTTAATTCATTCACTCATTAACCGACGATACTAAAATCAGCTCGTTCCATACTGAAACCAATGTGCTAAGCTATCAATAGCTCATTTTATTTTATTTTTTAAAGAAATACCATATTTGCTTCTCAAAAAGATACTAGCTTTTTATCATTACTAGTATATTGGATACGTTTTCGATCTTGCTTACAAAGTCCACATGTGGTTCCACCTCAAAACCAATTGGCAATGATGAGAGTAGCACATAGGATATATATGCTGAGTTCAAGAGTCTCCATCCATCCATGTGAGACAAGGAAACATGAAGTAATTTCTTTCTTTTCATTCATTTAACAATAACCCACTCGTGCAGTCGCGCTAAAAGTGTTTCCCTTTTATTACCCTCCTACATTGAGCATCTCGCACATTGACCTAGAATGTTATGAAAACTTTCAAAAAATTCTACTTTGACTTGTGAATCTTCGAATTGTTACACATTGTCTATAATTTTTTTTTTTTATATTCTTTGTACCAAAAGAGATATGAAGCATTTATCGAAATTTATTTTATTTTTTTATTTTAGAGCGGGGCACATGTATTTAAGAAGATTCGATCGAGAAACTCCGAAGCCATGACACAAAGATAGAATCACAACTACTTAAAAACTGCATCTTGAAAACGGCAAGCCACATGTGGTGAGTCTAATCGAACTATCGAAGTGCTTGTAAAACCAATGATTTAACACCAAATTTTGTTTGACCATAAAGTTTGTGTTTGACCAATTATTTGTTATAGTATAATCTAAAACAAAATTGTGAATCCAAACTTTTTAAGCGTCGACTTAATATTTCATTGAGGATCATGCAAATTAAAGTTGGCATTCAGTGATTGCAGGAACAAATCAGAACTACTTGCAAAATGTGGATTGACATGCGTAGAACCTATTTTGCGGGTTACATTGGAGGTGGTAAAAGGCTCAAATTAACTCCTTTTTCATCGAAATGCCGACCAATTAGTTCACGTGTACACTGTCATGTTTATTTCTTCTTACCTTTTGATCGGAAATAAAAGGATAATAACCAACCGTTCGTTCTCCTTTTCCGAAATACTCCAATGTTGATGCATGGGTTTGTTCAAAGATGTGAAAGGATCATTGGACAAGAAAAACGATAAATTTATTTCACGTGTTCGATCTTTATTCGTTCCACATAGGAAAAAAATAAAACGAATAATTTGATTAATGAACTCGGAGTATTGGAGATCGGGAAGGGAGAAGAGTGACATAAGGAGTTGAAGACGGGGAAGTCGTGTCGGAAAAACTCGGTAAACTAGAAGCCCAAAACCCACCCAAATGCGCGCCAAATAATGTTTTGTCATCTCGCTACTCACCGGTTCAGAAAGAGCTTTCACCATGACCGAGTTAACTGACGAATTATTTCAAAAAAAAAAAGTTTAACTGAAGATTTTCCACACATGACACGTGTGAACCCTCGTTGCCACGCCCCAACCCAAGTGTCTCCCTTCCTACGCTTCAATCACGTGCACAATTCGTGACGACATATATGAAGATAATTGTATTGTTCATTAGGACATATATTTAAGGGCAAAGAAGTTTTATTTTTAAATATTTCAAATTCGGATTTTACTATCTGTAGGAATGTCACATTGTCACTTTTGAAAGATAATAGTGTTGTGCCATTTATTTATTTTTTATAAGTTCATATTAAACGATAATATTAATCAATACGTGTGGAATTGTCATTCTTACATATATTTACATTTTACAATGTAAAAGTAATGCGCTTATGTATATTGATAAGTTTTTATTGCGTGTTGGCAGCGTGCAAATTCAGGGGCGCTATATTATGATTTGAGAACACAAATTAATCAACATCTGACTTGCATTTTACTTGATTGCTCGATATTGAACTTGAAAAATTCCTCCTTTCACAAGGCTCTACATCACTTCATATGAAAAAAAATTATGATATGGTTGATTTAGATACTCCATTTTGGAAGTATGCTATATATCTCCTTTAATTGGATTATGTCAGTCGAGAGGTAGATAATAGGATGAATGATATTCAGTATCATCTTGTAACGATTGTAATTTTGTGAAAATTGTTGAAAGTACCGGAACTTACTCTACAAGTCTTTCCGTTTCTTTTCAAAGAGCATAAACATGACAAATTATAAATTTGTAAGAACTCTCCCATATGTCATTTTACAATTTTTTTTTTTTAAATTTACAGTGTGTTTTTTACAAAATCAATGTAATTTTTATTGTATTTTTTTAGTATTATTCTTGCATTGAAAATGAATAAATGAGATTGTATTGATTGATGATGATGAGTAGTATGTATACTAGTTAATGATACTAACTTTGTATTTTAATCACAGTATCTAATACTTATACTTTATTGATATTGATGAAATTGGTATAACGACACCTCTTGTTCTTATTGGGTCCTAAATTTCATCTAGGATGTCTTTTTAATTGAAATAAAAACCTTAAAAATATTTTATAATAATTAGGAGAATACAATGAATGTGAAAATATATTTTTAAGATTTTTTTTCTAATTAAAAAGATATCCTAAGTTAACCTAAGACGAAATCAAAATACCTTATAAGAAGAAAATTGATATTTTATTTAGAAAAATAAAAACAGAGAATAAACTATGCAGCGAAGGACTACATTTTTTATTTCCTTTATAAAAAATACATCAAATGCCTTTTTATAGGCTTAGTTTACAAATATGATAATTATGTAAATTAACTAATTTTATTTAAGTAATAAAGATAAGTAATTCACTTAAACTAACCAACTAGATGAAACTAATCTAAGACTTCTAATTCCTTTGTGCTTTATCTCTTAACATTCCCCCGCAAATTGTGCCGGGACTGAAGGATTGAGGGCTGAAGGCGCAGTTTGTTGTAGAATAGAGTCCACTGGATGCCTGAAACTTGATTCTGAGCTTGTTATGAAGGTCTTATATTATGGATCTGGATCCAGATTTGTGAAGCTGCAATAAAAAATAAAAAATAAAAAATTTTGTATTGTAGTAGATTACCAATGTCACACAATCTTGGTTTGAAAGTGTGAATGTGATCTCCAATGACCATGTTGCCATTTTTTGTGGAGATATGTGAATTTTTCTAATAATTCTCAAAAAAATATGTGTACTTCATTTTTGAGTACTTTTCGGAGAACTATATGTGTAAAAAAAAAAGATAAGTCCAAGGAATTTTCTCGGACTTTTGCCATGATTGAAATTTTTTGAATGGATTCAGATGAGACTCTTTTTTTTTTTTTTTTTGGTGGTGATGAATGAAATTGGAGGATTAAACAATGGTTGAGTTGTGAAGTAACCGATGTGTCCTTGGCTCTGTGCGGGAATCTCTCTGCAATGAATAATTGATTGGAGAGAATTTTATAATGATAAAATTTTGAGTATCGATGAACAGAAATGCAGAAGTCATGATTAGACATATATGCGGAAGCAAAAAAAACCCTTAGACGTAGGATAGAACCTGCTCTGATACCAAGAAGAAAATTGGTATTTTATTTAGAAAAATAAAAACAGAGAATAAACTAATGGAGTGAAGGAGTACATTTTTTATTTCCTTTATAAACTGAATACATCAAATGCTTTTTTATAGGCTTAGTTTACAAATATGATAATTATGTAAATTAACTAATTTTATTTAAGTGATAAAGATAAGTAATTCATTTGAAATAACCAACTAGATGAAACTAATCTAAGACTTCTAATTTCTTTGTGCTTTATCTCTTAACAATAAGGACTGGAGGGAATATATAACTTTGTATTTTAATCGCAGTATCTAATACTTTATTAATATTGATGAAATTGGTATAACGACATATATTTTTTTAATTGGCAAAGGCATATATTTTGAAGGGTAAATAATAATTTTTGACACAGTATGTGACTAATATTGACTCAGCATGTAAAAAAGATGAAAGTAGAACTAATTTGTGAAGTGGAGTTGGAGATAACTATGACGCTGAGTTAGAGTGGAGAGTGTTGGATAACTGCTTTGGTGGGATAAAACACACAAATGTTTCTCGGGTAAAGTTGTGGGGTCAGAAGTTTGACCGGGAGAGGACGCGTTAAAACCAAAGTCTTGATTGAAATGCAAGTAACGGCTGTAACGTCAATCCAAGATTTACGTGAAATCATTCTTCTTGGGAAAATAACACAACCATTTAAGAAGAGAGTCTAATTGTAAATAATCTCAACCTTTGGAAAGAATTCACCAGCATTCTGAGCCAAAGTAAGAATTACTTACTGCCACTGGAAATATGCAGATTTATAATGGCAAATCGCAACACTTTTTTTTTTTTTTTGGTCTACAATACCACCTAATTGCATAGCAGTACTGTAGAAAAATTAATTTTTTTTTAAAAAAAATTGTAATCTATATATTAATTTGTTGTATACGAATTATTACAACAACACATAATGTAAGCTAAATTGTAACACAACATACATTTGTGACATTTTTCTACTTGAATACGAAGTACAACAAATGGACAAATTATAAAGTTTATACAACTACAATCTCATGTCACGGTCAACACAAAATTAATTGACACAATCTTGAAATTTTTAACTTTCCGATTGTGGAACAATGTTCCGAACTAACCTTAATTAAATGATGATAATGAATTTTCAGTCACCGTGATTTTTAACCAAGAAGAAACAAACAAACAGCTAGCTCTTGCTATCCCTTCCCTTCCCTTGTCTAGCTCACTTTTATGCAAAACTACAGAGCCTTCCGTCGTTTTCTCCTATTAAGCCTATAAAAACCACTGAAACGCCATATTTACCACACACATTTTCCCACATTCACTTTTTTCTTTTCCTCCCCTTAACTGTGCAATCGTCACCATCATCCATAATAATAATAATAATATACAATGGCCGGTGGCGGAGGTGGCGGAGGCGGCGGTGGTCCGGGGCTTGCCGGTGTTATTCATGACCCACATTCCATAGCAAGCTATTCCCGCCTCCTTTTATCCGATGATGTATCGGAAGAACATCTTGATGCCGAAACTTGCTTCAATTTTACCGCTCCTTCTCTTTCATCTGATGATCAGAATAGCTCTGTTTCTTCCAAAATGCTCTGTTTTGGCGTTGATCCTTTCAATGGCCAAGGATGTGATTCCTTCTTTGATGAAATTACTACCAAAATAGCTATAGCCCACAAACCACCCGCCGGAATAACATGCAGCGATTCTTCTTCCTCCGCCGCTTCAACCACTAGTCAAACTCAAACCCCCAGCAGCTTGACCATCCCCACCGCCAACGTCAGCACTTTGACAAAGTCAAATGTGAGTGATTCATATGTACGGCACTAATGGGTTGCCCATGAATTAAATGTTTGTGCCTGTAATTTTCAATACTTTGATCAATTGATGTTGTAGTATTAATGGGATTTTTGTCTTTTTTATGCAGAAGAAGAAAAATGGGTCAGGGTCCGCTGGGTTGGTCAATAATAGTTGCCCCGTTGTTGGACCGGCCGGTGGGAACTCAGGCGTACAGAATGGAGCTCCGGCGGCGGCGGCGGGAAAGAAGAGGAATTGCAAGAGGGCTAAATCATCTACGGATGACTCTATTAATCAGAATCAGACCATCAAACCCCAACATGCAAAGGTCTAACATTAACATTAACATAATCCCAAATCGAAACTTGCATGTCCTGGAACAATAATGATTCCCCTGTTTTGTTACAATTGTTGCAGGCTAAAAAGGAGAAACTCGGAGAAAGAGTCATAGCGCTGCAACAACTTGTTTCACCTTTTGGAAAGGTCTAATCTTTGATCGATTTTCTATGCCATTTTTTACCTTTTTCCAAAATTAAGTTAATTTTATCTTTACTAATTTGATTGAGTTGTGATAAATATACGAATTGTGGTGTCAGACCGATACGGCATCGGTGTTGCATGAAGCAATGGGATACATCAAATTTCTGCAGGATCAGGTTCAGGTCTTGTGTTCCCCTTACCTACAATGTTCTTCAAATTCCGACCACTTGAATGTAAGTACTAAATTTTCCGATATTGTTTGTCCGGCCTACCCTTTTCTCCTTTAATTAATTTCTCCAATTTAATGCCAGTATTTGCTGCAAAACTAATTTGAAGTACTCCCAAATCGAAGTACATCTCCAGATTAATTCTTTAATAACAAAAATCAAAGTACATTGTTGAATCAGGAAAATCAAATCAACTCATGGCCTTTCAATTCAACAGAGAGGAGAGTTCATTGATTTGATATTTTGATTCATGTGTATTTTTACGAGGCACTTTTTGTTAATTTTTTTTTTTTTTGACTTACTATACTCTGGCATTTAGTCACGTCACTGTAAGGGGTTTGTTCTGTTGTGTATTTATTGCAATTGAAAAAATTTTCCAGGTGAAATCCAATGAACAACCGATAATTAATAAATGTCAGTTGTCTGTTGACTGCCTACGAGTAGTATGCAATGTGAGAGCTTTGTTAAACTACAGTTGACTAGTACTTCATAGTATTTGTAATTTGTATCAATTGTACACATCTTTGTTCTAAAATCAACTTGCACTGAAGTAAAGAACTTGTAAGTAATCTAAAACTTTCTAAATATTCGGCGCGTTAGACGTTAATTTCGTTTAGGCGTCTTGTTTGTGTTACATGGAAAAATGATGCGGGTTAAAGTTGTTTTACTATTCCTTTCTCATTCTGATTATGGTTCCGTGATGATTGGACATTGGACAGGAGAAAGGGGAAGACGGGGGAAAAGGTGGAACAGACATTGGTAAGGATCTAAGAAACAGGGGACTATGTTTAGTTCCCATGGAGCTTACTTTACATGTGACTGAGGCTAATGGAGCTGATTTTTGGTCTCGTGCTACGCTCAACAAGTTTTCATCCTCAACAAATCAATGAGATTTTGGTATTTTTTGCACAAAATCGTTGTAATTTTGCAATGTACTTTAGAGAAGATGCCAAAAAACTTGGTGGCAAAAATGGTTATATTAGAATGTTTTTGGCATTTTTTGATCAGAAAGTAATGGGTAGAGGCCTAGAGGTAGCTAGGTAGGAGTCTGGGATAATTGAAGGAACAATAGAGGTACATAAGATTACTAGTATAATTTACTAGTTTCTGTATTTACCAAACTGGAAAACATGCGTTATAACTTTTAGTAATGTATTGAACTTTTGGTATGATTTGATTTGGATTTTGATGTGTCTAACTGGCCACCGATGCGAATATCAAAATGAGATAGCTAGGTCAGACTTTTGGTTTGGGATTAAAGATAATTTTAGTCGTCTCACTGAAACAAAAAAAAAAAAAAGAATAAGAAAGAATAGAGAGATAGTTGCAAAATAATTTTTTATTTCATTTTTTTTAATGTAATTACGTATTTTTATTTCTAAAAATAATTTTTTCGCACTTTTATGATTAGTCCTCTACATATTTTTCTGTGGTTGAAATTTTAGAAGGAAGAAGTGAATCAATACATGTAAGAATATACCAAAATTAACATCAAATCCACATTAACAAATAGGACCAACGATAATATTTTAGATCCATTTAGACAACAAAATTTTGTATGCATTTGGACGTTTAAAGTCTTGATGATGCCTGAGTTTTTATCAGTATGAATGAATGCCAATCAATTTTTCAATTTTAAGATTTATCGAAAAGCCATTAAAAGTTTATCATGGGTAGAAGACACTACCAATTTCTCCCACGTTAAGAACGATAAATTTGAGGAGTTGTTCTAAATCAAGAGTAAAGTAAGTTTTTGTCCCGAATCGATTACCATATTCACCTTTAAAATTTTATAGCATTTTTTTTTCTTCACAGGAACGAATAATTATTCTAACGATTTGACCTTTACTAATTCTTTCAAGTTGTATATTGATAATTGATATTCTATAAGATGCGATTATAAATAACATTTTCTCATTTTAAAATAATTGTCTAATTCGACTTTTCATTCTTAATATAAATTATATTAAAAATAAAAATTGAAACGTAATTATAAATTTGGATGAGGGAGTAATTAGGACATCGGAAGTGCAAGTAGCTGCGCACGTCACATTCTCAAGAACTTAAAACAAACATTTTCTTAAAACAAAATCCTCATTCGAACAATCTAACTAGCAATAGGAGAAATTGGAAAATGGAAAGACAATGAACATGGTCGATGCAATTGCTACTGAACTGAATATTTGATTACAACCACTGGTTAAAATTCCAAATAAAATGTACCATTCATTTTCTTCTTCTTATTTTTATTTATTTTTGTTAAAGCCCAATTAGTTATTTGGTGTCTGAATAAACTAAAGAAAAACCTTATGTTAGAATCAGGAGAAACTTCAAAATCTCCGAGCTTTTTTCTTCCTTATTTGTGGGCATCACATTCCAAAAAAAAAAAAAAGTTTAAAAAAAAAACATTTAAAGTTTACATGAAACTCCATAAGTGAAAAAAAAGAAGAAGATAGATTATGCAACAAAAACACAATACTTCTAATAGCACTTACATATGGTTTGTCCTGAGGTAGTTGCCCTATTTTCTTTTTTTAACTTTTAACAGTTTTTTGAAAGAACGAATAGTTGTTCGAACGGTTTGACCTCTACTAACGCTTTTAAGTTACGCAGTTTGATGATATCAAAAACATTTGATAAGGTGTGATAGAAGCAATAGTTAGGGCATCAGAATTACAAGAGGCGTGCTTATGTATTATTCTTGAAAACATTTTTTTATATATATATATATATATATTTTAAATTCTTTTAGATAGAGATCATTTAAAGCAATCTAATTTGATAGAGCAGTAGGAATTTGTAAATAATGATAATTATCGGGGTTCAAGTAGCATTTATGCTTAAATACAAGAGCTTTGACCGCAATTCATTGGCCTGAAAAAGATAACTTCCGGAAGCCAGTAGAAAATGCGACGGTGATCGGCGGCCCATTTACGGTAGTATTTAATCGATTTCATTTGCCGCTTCATTCAAATCTTCATCAGCAAGCTTTACATTCTCCCTAATACAGTAATTTCGACTCTTTTCCATCCCGTTTTCAATCGGAATTTATGGCAAATCTGCTTTAGCGAAGGCTGACAATCTCCGGTCACTCGCAATCTCATAAGAGACTTTCTTGCTCCTCTTTCCCGCGCGTTTGTTAGTCGGAGGAAATTCTAACCGGATGAGCGTGATGAATTCGTCGTCGAAATCCGTCAGTTCGGATTCGAAATCCAAACGGAGCTTCAATTCCATGTCTAATAATTCAAACCCTTCCAGTTCCAGTCGAAAAATTTCTGGCGGCAACGGCAGGAAGAAGAAGAGGTTGGAAAAGGATCACAATCAGAAAACCCTAGGAATGGCTTGGGGCGCCAATTCTCGCTCTTCTTCTCGCTTCGCCACCTTCCGTAGTTCTCCCTTCCCCGACTTTGGCAGGCAAGTTCCCCTGTCCCTCCTCCTTTTCGTGTCATCGCTTGTTTGGGTTTTATGTAATGTCTGTCATCATTATGCGTAATTTGAATGCTAATGTTTTCTTTACCACGTGAAATGGACAACATCGGCGTTTTTTTTGGATAATTTTAGAACTGTTAGTTTATTTGGAGAATTTTTTTTTTTTTTTTTTTTTTCTTTTGGTTGTTGATTTTGCTTTCATTGGAAGAGTGATTGAGTTACAGAATGTTTGTGGATTATGACTGTAGTTATATGGCTGTGAAGAATCAGAAGCTACATGAGCAATTTGATGCGGCAGCTTCATCTTCTTCACATAGTGGGTGTAGTTCTGGAAAACCTATCTTTCAAGGTGTTTCTATTTTTGTTGATGGATACACGGTGCCTTCTAGCCAGGTATTTATCAATCTTTCTCATCATTCTCTTAATGGATTTCTTTTATTTTTATGCGGGGATAATCTTTACCTTTTTGTTGTGTCTGCTGCGGCTCTGATTTTTCATGCTTTTGAACCAAATGATTCTATCAGTTTAACTTCTGAATAGATTACTTTTTCCTTCTGCTTTGGCTTATAGCCCAAGTACTTTCTACTTTGTGGGATTGTGAATCCTCTTTTCCTTCTAATGACAAAAAGGTTTGCAGGATCTAAAGAATTACATGTTGCAACATGGAGGGCGCTTTGAGAATTATTTTTCGCGCCATCGTGTCACTCATATCATCTGCAGCAATCTTCCTGACAGTAAAATCAAGAACTTGAGGTTCATAACCACCTTCCATCACTTTTATCTGTGATTGATGCTTTGATTTTGTTGTGCTTCAGAGGAAGAACTTTTTCCTGTTTCCTGTTGTAGGTCATTCAGTGGTGGACTTCCGGTTGTTAAACCCTCATGGATTGTGGAATCTGTTGCTGCGGATAAACTATTGAGCTGGTTACCTTACCAGCTTGATCAGATTGCTAGTGAAAATAATAACCAACCAAAACTATCCACATTTTTTGTTGCCAAAAACTGCCCCGTCTTGGATGATGTGGCAGAATGTTCAAGTAGACCTGTGAGTTCTGAACCTGGTAACGTGTTATCAAATTGTGGCCTTATAACAGATGTTGATGTTTCCAGAAATTCTGAATCAAAAGAAGCTGCCAAGGAGTTCTATTTGATGTCGAATGACCTTGAGATTGCTTTAAGATCTGCAGATGATGCAACCACATACTTAATGGATGATGAACATGAAGTTGAGTTTGAGGAAAATGGATGTAATGAACCATCTCATGCTCAGGTCAGTTCTTGTCCGGCTTTGACGTCAGTCTTTGACAACTCTGTTGCCAATCCCGTGACTGTAGATTCGTTGAATGCGAAAACTACAGAACCAGCTAGTAGGGGTCACTCAACCCTTTCTGATGCAAATTTTGTGGAGAATTATTTTAAGTTTTCCAGGCTGCATTTTATTGGAACGTGGAGAAATCGTTATCGGAAGCGGTTTCCTAATTCTCATGACTGTTCAAAGGACAAGAATTCCAGTCATAACGGTTCAGTATCTCAAAGGAGTACCATCATTCATGTTGACATGGACTGTTTTTTTGTTGCAGTGGTTATCAGGAATCGCCCTGATTTAAAAGATAAGCCTGTTGCTATTTGTCATTCTGATAGCTCACGTGGAACTGCTGAAATTTCTTCTGCTAATTATCCTGCTCGTGATCATGGTGTGAAGGCAGGGATGTTTGTTAGAGACGCAAAGGCTCTTTGCCCGGAGCTTGTTATATTTCCGTACAATTTTGATGCTTATGAGGAGGTGGCTGATCAATTTTATGATATCCTACATAAGCATTGCAACAAAGTGCAGGCTGTAAGCTGTGATGAAGCATTTCTAGATGTCAGTGACTCTGCAGTGGAAGACCCTTCATTCTTGGCCTCAGCTATCAGGAAAGAGATTCTGGATACCACTGGATGCACTGCTAGTGTTGGAATAGCTGGAAATATGCTCATGGCCAGAGTAGCTACCAGAATTGCAAAACCTGATGGATGTTGCTTTATTCCATTGGAAAGAGTGGATAGGTATCTGCATGATCTTCCTGTTAAAGCCCTTCCTGGCATTGGCCATGTTTTGGACGAGAAGTTGAGAACAATGCAAATCAGAACCTGTGGCCAATTACGTATGATATCAAAGGAATCACTTCAAAAAGATTTTGGCATCAAAACAGGTGACATGCTTTGGAATTTCAGTAGAGGGATTGATAGTCGGATGGTAGGAGTTATTCAGGAAACCAAGTCTGTTGGAGCTGAAGTTAACTGGGGTGTCAGGTTCAATGATTTGAATGATGCAAAAGATTTCTTGTTGAAGCTTTGCAAGGAGGTTTCATTGCGTTTGGAAGGATGTGGGGTACAAGGGCGCAATATAACCCTCAAGATAAAGAAAAGGAGGAGTAGCGCTGGAGAGCCTGTAAAGTTTATGGGTTGTGGAGACTGCGAGAATTTAAGTCGTTCAACCACACTCCCCATGGCTACAGATGATGTCCATGTGCTTCAGAGGATAGCAAATAAACTTTTTGGATATTTCCAAATAGATGCAAAGGATATCAGAGGAATGGGGTTGCAAGCATCTAAACTTGAAGCTGCGGATACTAATAGACGAGGGCATGAGAAGTGCTCCATCAGATCTTGGCTGGTCTCTTCAGGAAGGAAAGGTTTTACTAACACAGATTCTTGTAAGCTGAGAGATCGAGTGAATAGTAGGACGGGCTTGGATTCTGTGTCTATGGTTCAATCCGAGGGGAGTGGAGAAGTGGCTGTTAGCCGTGAGGCTACTCTTCCTGGTTTGGATGAACTTGACATTGGAGTGATAGAGTCTCTTCCTCCTGAAGTTTTCAGAGAGATCAATGATCTTTATTCTGGAGAGCTAATAAACTTATTATCAAAGAACAAGCAGAACAATAAAGATTTTGGCATGACCTCCATGGTCCCCCAAAATATTGCAGATGTGATGGATGAAGAAAGATCTGCTTTTGAGACCCTGGATAAGATTCCTTGTGATGAGGAAGATGAATATGTAAATGGGAAGGCTCATTTGAAGTCAGCTTCCATTGGAGAAGCCTCTAGCTCGGCGTCTGGTCTGCTTCCTACAACAGATAGCCTCATGCCTTCTTCATTAAGCCAAGTAGATCCTTTTGTGTTGCAACATTTACCTGAAGAGCTGCGAGTTGACATTCTTGAGTCTCTTCGAGCTCACAGGAATCCACACCTGATGTCGAATGATGTTTCTGTTAAATATGATGTGGCTCAGACTGCATCTGAAGACTTTATGATGAAGAATGAGCTTTGGATTGGAAACCCACCAAAATGGGTAGACAATTTTGCGAGAAGCAGTTGTTCCCTGTTAAATATATTTGCAGAATTGCACAACAGTTCTTGCCCTGGTAGTCAGTTCTCATCTCTTTTACAGAGTCTTGTCTCTGGATTGTCTCTTCTTCCAAGTGACGGACAGGATGATGCATTTAGTAGTTTGTGTGAGCTAATCAAGCAATATGTAGATGTGAAAATCGAAACAGATATTGAAGAGATTTATACTTGTTTGCGCCTCTTGAGAAGGTAAGACAATGAATAGGTTTATCCTGTGAAAAATCTTTTTACTGTGCTCTGAACACATCTTCAGAGTGCGTTGTGCTGATTGTTCATTGATTGAATACCAAGTGTTGACATCAATCAGTTGTTGTGATTTCAGGTTGAGTTTGCGGTCAAAGTTGTTTTTACGGATTTACGATAATGTCCTTCCTCGCTTTCAGGTAACTGCAATGCTAATGCTTTTTATTTCCTGGTTAATCCGTAGCTAGGCTTAAGGCTTTGGGCTTCTAGTGTGTGTTGGTTTGAGTATATATGCTCGTGGCAGATGTCTGTTAAATAGGAAACCAAATGAACTATGTGATATTGCGTCTTTGAGTTCATGGTTCTTGGTATCGTTTTGGTTCTGCCATTGAGGTTGGAGTTTATTTGTTCTGGATGAAAGTAGAAGTGTGGTAACCCCATCTTAATATAAAGGGAAAGTAAAATGATGTACCGAAAACTAGATTAGGCTGTTGTTATGAGCGCCCTCTATTTCATATGCCATGAATTGGTTCTGTTTGAGGCTTTTGATTTCTTGCATCAACTCAGTTTCCTTACTGATTTTTGGTGTTAATTTGTTGGAATGAAATCTTAGGCTGCAGTTTGTGAACATTATGGAGGAAACCTTAATATTTGTCTCATGGATGAGTAATGGTTTCTTTCCCCTGCCTGACTTCATCGCGCAAACTAAGTGATGCAACTCATAACACTCAAGATGCAGATCCTTATTTCACTAGAAGCCTGGTTAGTTCAGTGCTGAATTCAGTATCAAGATATTATGCACATCTTTGTCCTTTTGTAATGAGAGACTTTTTGTGCAGGAGTCATAGCAACAGTGCTGCAGCAGCTGCCCTGGACAGAAGCATGGTAATAAATCATGGGGAATCAGGGCCTGCATGTGGCATGTAACTTTCAGCAGATTTCAAATCTAGTAAGAATAGGGCATTTTAGTTGTCCTTCAGGTATGTGTTATTGTTGTCCAAGCACCTTGTAAAGTTTGGCTCTCTTGCTGTATTAGAACGGACGTAATCAATGGGTGGCCATAAAACTGAGATGGCAGAATCCGAATTCATCTTGTTTCAAGACATTTAAACTCTGAAGGTAGTTTTGTTACCAAATCAACTTAGATTATCTTGTTACTTATTTTTCAGATACTATCCTTTTCAACTTCAGGGGCGTGATTGCAGCCATCTATCACCTGTGGGAAGAACGTAACTGGAGGCTCTTTCAAGCCAAATGCAGAACTGAAGAACAAACATTGCTACTGATAAAAGAGGAGGTTAGAATAAGAGTCCATTATTGTTGTAAGAAGTTGAGTAATCAGGAACAATGTGTAGTAGATATGTGGTTTGGAAATATGTAATGGTGTATATGTTGCAGTAGCTGGAAGTGATGTAATAGAGTGTGGATTACAGTTTGTACAAACAGGAGGTTGATGAATGCAATAAAATCAGTTTACTTTTGATCAAAAAAACTTCAGGGCCTTGGGAGTTTCATTTGACTGAAATTGGTAAATTCTCTTTCGTTCCAGTGGGTGGTTTTCTTCTTTCAGGTGGTCAAAAATGTGATGCAGATGGCAATTCACTGAATCACGTGCCGCGAGTTATTTCAACTTTGGTTTGCAGTTTGCACTTAGCATGATGCTATATCTTCAGTCAATTGTATCCTGGAGATTTATTTCTGCTGACTGATGGTACAGTTGAGTGAGGTATCCTCAGTAATCAGGCGTGCTAAAAGGTAGACCATGGCCATTTGAATACTCTAATTGCTTTGATCGTTCATTTCATTTTGTGGAGGCTCTGAGCGCGATGCAAGTGTCCCCGATATTGACGCGGAATTTAACAATGTTACCTCGTGTAAATGGGACTCATTCAACTCATGCTATGCCTTTCCTCCTTACATACAAAAAGTCCATATTTTGTAAAATACTACTACATCGAAGTGCCTACAATTTAACATTCAGTGAGGGAGATTAGTCACTGTTATCGACGGTGGACACCCTGAAAAACAAAAACAAAAAGAAAAATAATCTACATTAAGTCTCAAATTTGTATTAAAAATAGTATAAATATAAAAACTCAATGTGAATTATTTTTTTTTAAAACAAGGGTAGTATAATTTATAATGTGAAATATCATTAATTTTGGGCAAAGAAATTATTGTAAATAGAACTATAGTATCAAATATCCGGTCTTTTGGAACCACATATGCTCCCAAAAGACGTCCAAGAGGAATATTTCTGACACTGTTCGTATCAGAATAATAGTTTTGCTTTTCGAAAAGTTGTCATTTTTATGAATAAATGTTACATTAGTGATGATGTACTTATTTTGTTTTGTGGGATTTTTGAATACTCCTCCCGGCTCAAAAGAAATCGCGCAGAGGAGTATTTGTTAAACATTGATGATAGCCTTGAGTCGTCTTCTTCTCTTTCTCTTGAATCTTTGGATTTTTATAAAGGTTGGGTCAACTTCGTCCAAGATTTGGTTATCTACTTTATTTAGGTGAGATTTCTTCCACCACTAAACCTGTACAAAGTTGGTTATTAAAACTTATAAAAGTCAATGAACGATGTTAGACTTTATTTATTTATTTATTTATTCATTTTTGGTGACAAACATGTTGGACTAATATAAGAATGGGGAATATAAGAGTTCGAACTTTAGAAAATAACAATAGTAAATGCTTTTTAAAGTTTCAAGTCAAACTAAAATCTAAAATTCAAATCATGTAAAGGTTGATACTCTTTACATTTCAGGTATCCGTTTTACCATATGTATTAACTTCGAATTTTGTCTTCCGTCGGTCCAGAAATCACGCCCCCATGCTCAAACAATACGACTCCTAGTTGTACAAAACAACCCGTGATCGTTACTTATGTAGCATTTTAAGATTTTGCCTCCTAACTTGCTGCTAAATTCAAGGGAACTCTGGGAAAGCATTATTACACAATTTTTACGTTGTTTTTAAAACCTTAATTATCACTTGATGAATAGTCGTGATTTAAAAAACCGAAGTCCTGACAATTATTTTGTTACTAGAAAACAAATTAACGTCGCGAATAAATTGAACTAATTAACATAAACCAACGGGTGGCACAATTGAAAAATACTTTGGCTCACAAAATAGGAGCACCATGTTCTCAAAAAGAACAATAACTAAACAACATCTTGCCGTCGTGAAGAAGAACATCCTAATCCTAATTTAAGGAGTTGAACACAAACAAACGAAGACATAAATTTTTTTAGTAAATTACGGCTTCAAAGGTGGGTTGTTGTCGGTATTGGAAAAGGTAGAAAAAAGAAAAGAAGAAAAAAAGAATTCAGGTAAAGTAAACTTTTATATGGATCCGCTAGCGTACGTAATTATGGATTTTGGTGTGTTAGGTGACAAAAAAGTCCGGTGTTCGTTATCTGAATGTAAGCCGACTGAAACCTGAAAATGCTTTCATTGGATTCGGGAGCTGTCCTTATTTGAATTGAAACTGCTCCAGCATGTTTCCACTGTTGGAAAATTTACAAGCACATTCTACTTTTAAAAATAGACATTCAAAGGAAGAGTACACTCAGCATAAAACAGTCTAACTCTTCATCTGTTTATGTGAAATCGATCATACAGGTATAATAAACACTGTCTTAAAAAAAATACTAATTCACATTGAATTTTAAAATCTGTATTAAAAATCTTAAAATTTAACATACTATTCCCGTCCCACAAAAATAGAGTTTTCAAATTTGTACTAAAAACAGTACAAAACTCAAAACTCAATGTGGACTATTTTTTTGGAACGGAAGGAATATATTTCAGAAAGAAGAATACCGTGTATCGCCAATTACACGCTTTCAATATTATTAAGTTACGGGGTCGGATTTGTGGGTCTCAACTCTCTAGTATGGAGTTTTCCATTTAATCCCTCAAGAAAAAAACAAAGTCACATTAAGTTAACATCATATTATGATTTTTCTTTTTTACTCTTGTATCAAAATAAAGTGCGGCTCTTATTATGGAACAATTAATTACATTATTGATTAGTGAGATGACTATATGTCAGTCTAATTTGAGACAATGGTAAATTTTATTGACTTCTAAGGAACGATTTCTATATGAAATGATACAAAAATAAATGCGGACAAGATACCAAAATATTTGACATCAAATTTTGAGAAGTCTTTCAATACAATATTATTTTGTTCAACAAAATCCTAGTGAAATGCATATTAGTCCCCTCCCCTCCATTGACTAGACTAAAGAGCTCGATTTTTTTTTTTTTTGTCTATTAGAAGCCAGAGATAAACAAAAAAAGTCATTTATTTTTTAATAGTATATTTATACAAGAAAAATATATATGCTCCTGATGTTAATTATTAAAACAAACTATTTCAAACTTGTAACCGAAACAAAATCATATCAAATATTCTAACATAACTTACCGAAATCACGTTTAACATGGTATATATATTTATACAAGAAAATATATATGCTTCTGATGTTAATCATTAAAAACAAACTATTTCAAACTTGTAACCGAAACAAAATCATACCAAATATTCTAACATAACTTACCGAAATCACGTTTAACATCGTCTAAACATGTTGAATTCCCCAGTGAACCATATGCCATATTCAAAGTGCAAAATTCAAAAGATCTGACAAAAACTAAAGTTACCATTCTTCCCCGCCAACCCCCGAGCACATAACGTAGTCAACAGCCTACAATAATAATGTTATATAATTCTCCAAAGTCAATACAGAAAAGCTCATATACCGTACACATTTAATCAACACTACTAATATTTGCCATTACTTTTCTCAAAATTCTTCAAAGTTTCAAACCTTTGGTATAGTACACTAGTATAAAAGTAGGAGCCAAACCCACCAAACTTTGTTCATTATATATCCTTCACAAGAAGAAAATCACAGTGTAAACCCAGAAAAAAAAAAACCGAGTAATAAAAAAAAAAGAAGGAAGGAAATCGAGATGAAGGGTTGTACGTTGATCATGGCGTCGTTGAATGCCATTTCAGTTATGTTGATATTCTTTGTTTTTATATCTTGTAATTCGACTCCGGTTGAAGGCGGCAGGATTCTTAGTGATCATCATCAACAAGATGAATATAACTCGTCTTCATCTAGCTTTGTTTCTGCGGTGAAAGAGTTGATAGAAAGAGCTTATTCTGGACCAAGTCATCGTGGAAGAGGCCATTGATTTGATTCATACCGCGTAAGATCGATTGACTAAAGCTTCTTACTTCATTTTTACATTTTTTTTTTTCAATCAGTTCAAGTTTTGAGTTTGCAAAGATGGAGATTCAGCAGAGATGCATGGAGAAGCTTGGTGAAGGATAACTTTTGGAGGCTATATTAGTTTCGATTTATTCGATTATGGGTTTCTTTCCCCTTGATTTTTTTTTTTTTTGGTGTTCTTTTGTTTATATACATGGCTGTCTTATGAGATGGTTGGCCATGTTGGTTCGATTTCTTCATATCCAGATTGTCAAAATGTATATATATAGTGGTGTATATATATAAACACACACAGATTCAAATACAAGACACGATTTGTTGTTATATACTGCAATGAACTCTTTCATTTTAATAAAAAGATTGAGCTTGAAAGTTTACAATGACGTTGAGAGTATGAGTTTTTTTTTTCCTACAGGATATCAGCCAATCATTATCCAGTAAAAAAAAAAAGTAGGCACAGATTGCCAAGAATATTATTAGAAACATTCGCTCTAGCATTTTGCTAGTACATGTGTGTGTCAATCCAGTAAAGATTGTTAGATGAGAGAATTGACATCAGATGGCAAATTTCCAAGAGATCAGGGCGGTATGATTTTATTTCCAAGAGAATTGACATCAGATGGCAAATATATATGGATATGTTTGTTTGGTTTTTTTAGTTTGTGGTTTTAGGTATTTTTTGTATTGGGAATGTAAAAAAGTGTATCAGAAATGTAAAAAAATATGCTGAGATGAGACAGTTATTAATATATTAATTTAAAAAAACCATAAAAAATGAAACAAACAAAGTAGATTTTGCTTATTTTAGTCCCAAATATTAATTGCAAGAGAAGCAAGCTTTTATCTGCATGTAGTTAGTTATCGTACCAGTCTCTTGATCATCCCTATCTTTCACGATCCTGTATAGTTTTTTTTAATTTTCTTTGGCCCGTAAGTCCTGATACAAGAATAAAGTTCAAGTTTTGTTTTGTTTTGTTTTGTTTTGTTTTTTTTTTTTTCATGTAATGTGGATTATTTTCGGGGTGGGAAGAATATATAATTTGGACACCTACAAGTTACAAGTATAAGTTTGTCCTTTTTTCTTTTTAGTTTTTATTTTTAAACTTCCTGAAAAAGGGAGTAGGTAAAATCATAAAATTTCCTTAAAGTAGGCAAGTTTTAAGTCTTATTGCCATTGGCATCACTACGTAATCAACCTACCATCACATTCAACTTTGACTCTTGACCTGTGACTGAAGCAATGAAGAGAACCTCGTCATGATACTGAATTAATTAACAGTAATTCAAAACTTTATTAATAGTGCCATAATCATAATAACCAGCAACATTTTATTTGTGATGTGTTTTAATAAATAGATTATATTAAAATCGAATGGGGGTAACTATACATAATCGTTAATAAATGAATTGAAATTTAGTCCTTAATTTCAACGGAAAAAGAAAAGAAGCTTAACTAGTCAGTTCATTTATCGATTTCCTACAACTATTTGGAGTTTGGACGACCGTGTCCATAGTTTCGATTGAATGTTTAGTGTTACAATTGTTTATGGCTCTATTTAATATAGTGACGGAACAAGAATTTTGTGAATATTAGAACAAAATGACTAACACTTTTTTTGCAGCTAGTATGAAGGGCCACTTAGCATCGGACCAATTTTGCAAAAATTGGAGTGAGGCGACCACTGCGGGTCCCCTAACTCCGCCACTGATTTTATGCTGTCCATGCAAACGACATTCATGCGAGACTGCGAGTTTTATACCAATGTACTTTGTGTAATGAACACAGGACACGTAATTTGAGCTCCATTGATCCAAGACAATCCTCTTTTGAGGCAAAAACCCCGGACATTGTTTTGCCTTTCTCATCCATGCTCGTTTTTAATTAACGCCTTCAAATTTATAGTGATTTTCAATAAGTATGACATCAATCTTTGGTAGACTTTCTAAAAGTGGTGTGAAATTGTGCCTTGAATGATATAATTAAATTGGATTATTTTCACCACAATGATCGTAGTTCGAGTTTTTGAGGTTTTTTTTTTTTTTTTTTTTTTGTTTGCCTCCTTAATCTCGTACCAACGGTCTTACTACGCAAGCTGTAATTAGCAGTTGAAGGACAAAAATCCCATAACTCCCATCGAGATCAACTGGAAGAAATAAACCCCCGTTGAATTGTTAAATTTTTCTTTTTAATCTTCGATAAAAAAATGCATTAAAAACTATATAAAGTACAAAAGACTAATTCTGTGATGCCATTTGCATATTTTGCACATTTTGACTTGGTACATCCAACCGGGAATTGCGTTCCACTTCATTTACAAGATATCATTAAAAAAATTTGTACTGGATGACCAGTTGACCACTATCGGTCGGACCAGACCAAATTCAAAGATCTCATTGAGTAAATCGTACTACATATGTCATACGTCTAATTGATGAACATATAATATATTAATATGAAGAATGCTAATCTCAATCTGGGATTCCTACTTGTATTTGATTTGGGTCACCGTTGTTGTAAATAAATACAATACGAGGTAAAAAAAAAAAAAAAGAATTGCACATTTTGCAACTTGCAACCATAGTTTGTTATTTTTTTCAACTATTATATGCTATTTTACTTAGAAGAAAAGGCTGTGGCTTCGCTTGTAAATGGTTTATTTGTTAAATTTATTTATATCACATTTCTATTAATTCATACGACTATATATGGATTATTATCATGATTTAGATGAAAAGTTGTAAATAGATTAAAAAAGGTTTAATCAACAGCAGTTCATGATTTATATAATTATATGTGTAACAGAAAATAGAACCCGATGAACATTGTCGAGACTTTCAGTTATGGGATGGCGAATTCACTTTGTTAATCCTTTTTCTATCACTCATAAATCAACGTTTTTGGAAATTTGCGTCTAATTAAATGTCTTATATATACTTCTTTTGTACCTCGTATATATGTCATTGATTCTTTATTTTTTGTAATTTAGGTTTTCAACATTATGAATAAAGACTTGAAGTGAAACTGAAATTCTAAACGCACGGTTGATGAAACTACTCTTGTTCTTTGTAAGGGGAAAAAAAGTTGCGAATTCAAAATGGATGACAACATTACAAAGCAAATTACACTTCAACGATCGATTTGGATCCATAAAAAATGAAAAGCAATCTTTGATGTTGTATTCACGATTGTTACAATTGGATCCATAACTCATAATTCATGTCGATATAATAGGCTAGATACTTCCGATTAATATCAGGTGTCATTTTCAAAAAAAAAAAAAAAACCAATTGTCACTTCAGTTTGATTATTTAGAACTAAGCTATCTCATTCCATACATTATAAAATGTATAGAACACCGATGCAACCTAATTAAGTTCAATGTATGTCCTTTTCTTATTTTGTTTTTTGAGAGATTTATCTAGATTTATATTGTAGTTTTTTCTAATACCATATTAGAAACCCGATAATGCAACAAATCAATTCAATATGGTTGAAGAGGCTCAAAGATCTTATTATAGAAAGGCCTTTGATGGCTTAATGGATGAGATAAAATCTCTACCAAATCTAATACACACTTCGAAAGTCATGATGCCTTGTAAGGAAATTAAAACGTCAGCAAATGAACTCTTGACAAGGTCATGTCTTCCAGAAATAAAGAATTAATTAATGAACTCTGAAAGGATAAAATAATCAAAATGAAATCTCCAGTTAGACCCCAACTTTTTTCGACCAGGTCGCACAACATAATGCCATATAACTTTTGGGCCGCCCTTCCTCATAGTGGTTATACATTATTATGATTATAGGTTACTTGGTCAACTCGCACTAAAATAATTGCGCATCAGTCCCTCAAATTTTGATGTCAAATTCACTTTTGTCTCACATTTCTTAATCAACCTCAATTCAGTCATTAGATTTTAGTTATCAAGCTATGTTATGCTACACAAGTGAATTGACAAAACAAAAAAACCATAGTTCCAAATTAGAAGGACAAATAAAGTAATTTATAGCAATAACAATTATTGCATTTGGGAAAGACAGAAAATTCAGTCCAACTTAGCTACAGCTACTTCCTGTTGAGGAAAATGCAAGCGTTAAGTGTCAACCATTTCTATATATACCAGAAAGCCAAAACACAAACACAGAGACACAGACACACACACACACACTGAACTAAGATCATCAATGGCGAAATTATCAATTATATTAGTTTCTTGCTTGGTCAGCCTTGCGGCCATCATGCAAGGCAGCCATGCAGTTCAATACACCGTCACTAACACGGCGGCATCAACCCCCGGCGGAGCCCGATTCCAGACGCAAATCGGGGCGCCATACGCCTTAACGGTACTAACCTCTTCCACTACTTTCATATGGAGGACCTTCCAGGAGAACACTCCGGCCGACCGGAAAAACGTCCTGACAGTTTCCGTGTTCGTGGATGACATGGACGGAGTCGCTTACACAAGCAACAACCAGATCCACGTCAGCGCGCGCTACATCGGGGGATATTCCGGCGACGTGAGGAGGGAGATCACCGGAGTTCTTTACCACGAAATGGCTCACGTTTGGCAGTGGAACGGAAACGGCCAAGCTCCCGGAGGATTGATCGAAGGGATTGCGGATTACGTGAGGCTGAAAGCCGGGTACGCGCCGAGTCATTGGGTTAAACCGGGTCAAGGTGACCGGTGGGACCAAGGGTACGACGTCACTGCCCGGTTCCTGGATTATTGCAACGGGTTGAAACCTGGTTTTGTGGCTCAGCTGAATAAGATGATGAGGACTGGATATAACGATGGTTACTTCGTTCAGCTTCTCGGGAAGCCAGTTACTCAATTATGGGTGGATTACAAAGCCAAATTCAGCACTAATTAAATTATTATCTGAATGATAAGCTCTTAGTTGTTGATTAGTAATAATGAATAAATGCCATCCACACTCGTGTGACTATAGACTGACAATAAACTCATTCTTGGAATAACCAAGAATTATCAATTAGTACTACTTTTCTATGTCATGATCAGTGTGTTACTAAGTGTTACTACTTTTCGATTCGAGTTTTCTTAAATATTTTGTGATAGCCATGTGCTAATTGTTACCAGAGTTAATATTAACACGCAAGCAAAACTTCATTCTCCCATTCTCCACAAAAAAAAAAAAAACCCCTACAGATTCAGTTGAGAGCTCAATAGTTACAGAGGAATGGGGATCCCCTGTAAATTTTATTCTGCTTCAAAATTAGACTCACAAACTTTGCATCAAAGTTCACTCTTTTCCGACATACTACATACTTCAAAATTATTCTGTAAAAAAAGTAAATTCAGAACAACACAAAAATTTTCAACTCAATCCAAGTCGTTGAACAAACCCGCTTCTAGCATAACATTCTGTCACTCTCGATTTTTATATCCTAGTTAATGTACTCCTTTCGTCCCCCAAAAAATAATTCATATTGAGTTTTGAATTTCGTACTATTTATAATACAAATTTGAAAACTCAATGTGGACTATTTTTTTTTTTTTGGGACGGAGGTAGTATTAAACTGCAGCCTAAACAGTTCAAAAACCCCAGACGGATTTTTTTCTTCTTTTATTTGCGACGAAAATAAATCGAAACCTAAAACAAATAACTCAAGATGGATACAACTATACAAGGCCATGTGGTGGGAAATTGAAACACTAATATTTTACCATGCATATTTGGAGCCACAGCAGCTATTTGGGCTAATTCATTCTCCACTATTAAACAATCTGCTTAAAGACTAAACCAAGTGTTTAAGGGCGGTGCGTTCCGTCAATAGTCTTCTTGGACCAATTTGCGAGTAATAATATAAAGAATCCTACTAATTCAACTCAACTTTTCTTTTTTATTTATTTATTTATTTTTTTAAAATCTCCACTCAAACACATTTCTTCACCCCCCGCAGAAAATTTTCTGTCTCCCCTAAGAGGAATTTCAGAAGTAAGGCACCCTTTTCTAAAATTATTGCTAGAGCCTTAACAAGATTTTCTCAATTCCACTTATCCAGTTAGGTCAAAGTTTCGTTCCTTTACTCTGTGGTACACTTGAAGAGCATCATCGTACTTACAACCCGAGCTCATTACGTGATTTTAAGGAAAAAGCTGTTTGGCTGAAACGGGTTTCGTCAAAAACCAATCAAATGAAAACAAATCTTGAATCTCAAATGTAAGCAAACTTAATGAATATATTGAAAGCACAAAAGAGATGGTGAAATGCGAATTTCACAACTGATTTTATGGCATTATTGACAAATTCTTTTCAAATGGATTAGAACTATAAAAGAGCGTACTGCTCAGAATTATTCCTTAATTGGCTTCCTTTTGATTGAATATAAATTGAAGACTGATGCGATGTTAAAACAAAGTAGAAGATTAAACCAAAAAGTGAAGATTAAACCAAAAAGTGAAGATTAATTAGTTTCCTAAAGATTAAACCAAAAAGTGAAGAAATAAATTAAGAACCGGCCAGTCTTAATAATTCGGGTGGAAGTAGGTCTTGATATGAAGAATTTTGACCAAGTCTTTTCTCATCTCGAAGTTTCCAACAATTGGACTCAGCTCATTATTTGACCAGTACAGTACCGTCCTTTGGACGTACGATGAGCAATAACTTTTTTAATTTTAAACAATGCTTCAAATGGCGAGTGCCAGTTTTAAACTAAGGCTACTAAATCATTAACTGGCACCAAAATAGTTCATCCGGGTAATAATCTACAAATCACCAAATTTTACTTACATTTATGTCTCATTATTTATTAATTAATGCAATGTCAGCAAGTTAGTGAATATAAGTAAATTAAACTTGATGTGTTGTTTACTATTATTTCCATTCATCCACTTTAATATAAGAGTAATGATTGTTGCAGAAAAAATTTGTAAGAAAAATATACATAGAATGAATCATAACCGTCTATAGTTATAACTTAATTTTTCGAATTTATCCATTTAAGAGTTAGGGGATAGTTAAGAATCAGTCACATTATTCCCTATTAAAATTGTTTTTAAAATTTTCTTATATGTATCACTATTATTAATCTAATTTGGTTCTTGAAATAATAACGCATGATAAGGATATATATATGAGAGGGAAAAACCAAAAAAATAAAAATAATATAAAATCGACACGGGTCAGGTCTTTCGAATTTCCTTGCAACAAGATCAAAATCAAGAAAACCATATCCACGGTTTGACTATTATAACAATTCAAACCATACTACATTCTCTTCACGTAATAAAATTATACTATTACATGACTTATCGAATCACTCCAATCAACTAATCATCATTAATTTTGTGGCAAAATTAAAAAAAAATCCAGTCCAAATTTGCTGCGCTCTCGAGTTAATCCATCACTATATAAACCCACAATTATTGCAGATCAACAGCAAACCAAAACACACACATATAAACAAGCGTATTAAATCCGCTATGGCGAAATTATTTATTTTTCTAGTGTTTTCTTGCTTTGTTATCGTTGCATCCTTCGTGCATGGTAGCCATGCAGTTCAATTCACGGTCACGAACACCGCCTTGGGCACCCCGGGTGGAGACCGGTTCAGGGCGGAAGTCGGGGCTCCATACGCGAGAACAGTATTAAACTCTTCCACTACTTTCATTTGGAGGCTCTTACAGGAGAACGCTCCGGCCGACCGGAAAAACATTCAAACAGTTTCCATGTTCGTGGACGACATGGACGGAGTTGCTTACACAAGCAACGACCAGATCCACGTCAGCGCCCGGTGGTTTCAAGGTTTAACCGGTGACGTGAGACGGGGGATTTCCGGTGTTCTATATCATGAAATGACCCACGTTTGGCAGTGGAACGGAAACGGGCAGGCTCCCGGAGGGTTGATTGAAGGAGTTGCGGATTATGTGAGGTTGAAAGCCGGGTATGTGCCGAGTCATTGGGTTAAACCGGGTCAAGGTAACCGGTGGGATCAAGGGTACGATGTAACGGCCCGGTTTCTTGATTATTGCAATGGGTTGAAACCCGGTTTTGTGGCTCAGCTCAATAAGTTGATGAGGAATGGATATAATGATAACTTCTTTGTTCAGCTGCTTGGGAAGCCAGTTAATCAGCTGTGGGCTGATTATAAAGCTAAATTTAATACGAACTGAAAATTTGATGATTTATAAATGTGCTGCTCGCTTAATTTATAGATGCTAATTATCATTCCGTGTGATGTTACTTGGATAAATAAATAGTATCATTGTTCAATCATGCAATTTGTATTAGTAATAAATTCTGCATCCATATGATATGGTGAATAAAGAAATCTACTCTTATATTGTACTACTTTACAGTCATCTTTTTGTAATTTACTCTTACAAGACGTGTATTCTTACTCTATTTTTATCTAGGACGTCTGTCACGTATGTGATGCATTTGATTACATAGGTAAAGGTTCATTTGCTAGGGAATGTGTTTGATCGATCTTTGTGTTATTTTATTCTCAATGTATAAGTCACCCATGTTAAGGTCTATAAATTTATTTCTTTTTCGTTCCTTTTTTTTTAAAGACTAGTGCATTCGAGTGTGGATAATCTATATATATATATAGAGATAGATAGAGAGAGAGAGAGAGAGAGAGAGAGAGAGAGAGAGAGAGAGAGAGAGAGAGAGAGAGAGAGAGAGAGAGAGAGAGAGAGAGAGAGAGAGAGAGAGAGAGAGAGAGAGAGAGAGAGAGAGAGAGAGAGAGAGAGAGAGAGAGAGAGAGAGAGAGAGAGAGAGAGAGAGAGAGAGAGAGAGAGAGAGAGAGAGAGAGAGAGAGAGAGAGAGTCCCGTTGATCAGTTTTACGATCGTTCCGTTTTGTCTTCAACCAATCAAAATTGATGGTATAAGATTTAACCATGTGGTGAATAACATTCTATAATATCATAAACTAATTGAAAAAATGATCATTTTTGCCTAAAACATCAAGTTTCGGGCCAATTTAACCCAAAATATTTTTGGGAAACCAAATTCATTATCTAAATTTCAAATTTTTGCCAATTTAATCCAAATTGATGAGAATTCTTTTAGATTTAACATTTCCATTGACATTCCGTTAATTTATACAATTTTTTATTGGTAAAAAAACTTTGTTGACCTAAAAACTTTAACATTTTATTCTTAATGTTTTGTTATTCAGTAACATACGCTTATCTTACCATTTAATTATTATAACGTCCTCACCACATAATTTATCTCCTATCTAATCCATTGCTCCCACCCTAAACCTCTTCATTTTCTTCCTCTTTTACTTTTTTTGTCGCTGTCGCACAGCTACCGCCCCTTTCCTCTTCTTCCCTAAAAGTTACCATCACCACTTTCTAAATCTGTGAATATTTCAAACCGTCACCACAAACATAAAAATTTTCCTCCACCAACAATACACAATCCTCTCTCCATCACTACGCGCATTTCCGTCGCCGCCACTTTTCTTCAATTCTACAAAAATTACAAAATATTTTACTTATTTTTCTTTTTTTTTGCCCTTCTTCTTTCTAAAAAATTGTACAAAGTAACGAAAAAAGAAAAAATAGCTGTTACACTGTTTTGACCCCATCGTCAATTTTACCCTACTGATTTTTGGTTAGCCAATTTTGTCCTTTGTGTTTGAAATTTTGTCAATTTCATCCAATTGGTCAAGTTCCGTTAAACTTAACGGATCTCCGTTAGTTTTTAACAAAAATACCCAAATAGTTTCAAAATATTATAAGGATAACTCACAAAATATTTTTTGAGTTATCCGGAACCTGAACGTCGTTTTCATCCTTTTTCTTGCTTAAAAAAATGTAAAAATAACAAAATAATTCCTTTTCACTTGTATTCATTTCAGTCTATTTAATCTTATTTCTATTTACTACTTTTCATAACCATTAAAATATACTATATGATCTTTAAAAAATAATTATTTATTTTCAACAATATTTCTCATGTGCAACACACTTGAGTTGGGTTTAGAGGTAATTTTATCTTTTTATATTTTTAAAAAATTTTAATTAGTTTTATTTTATTTTTTAATAATTTTCTTCTTGTACTCTCTGACTTGTATATGTTAGTACTAGTATAATTACTATATTTAAAGAAAAAAAATTTACCTTTTGTATTTTAATTTTGAGGAATAAAAAAATATTTAAAAAATGCTATTAAAAAATGTATGTATTTACCTTTATCATGGAATTCAATGATTACTTATATAGTTTAGCCATCGCAAAGTAACAAAAATAATTACTAAAAAAGAATAAAAATTGTGTTTACCAAATTTACAACAATTCATCGCCGTGGACTTAATAAATTAGCATTTTTTCCTATTTTAAATGATTATCTAATTTTATATTATTTTTTTATTATCACAACCAAAATAATTTATTTAGTCTTACCCAACTCACCGACTCACTTCCTTACTCAATTAAACACTTTTTTCCGATAATCTTTTTTTTTTTCTTTTCTGGGAGAAGGGCATCGAAAAGAGTGGCAAGCCCCTGCACTACAAGGGATCGGCCTTCCACCGTATGATTCCTGACTTCATGTGCCAGGGAGGAGACTTCACAGCCAGAAACAACACCGGTGGAGAGTCCATCTACAGTGTGAAGTTCGCCGACGAGAACTTCGTCAAGATGCACACTGCTCCCAGAATCCTGTCCATGGCTAATGCTGGGCCCAACACCAACGGATCTCAGTTCTTTATCTGCACTGCTAAGACCACTTGGCTCGATGGGAAGCACGTTGTGTTTGGCTAGGTTGTGGAGGGCATGGAAGCGGTGAAGGCCATTGAGAAGGTTGGATCAGGGAGCGGAAGGACCGCCAAGAAGGCTGAGATCGCTGACTGTGGCCAGCTTTAGATTCTGGAGGAGGGCTTTTTAAGTGGGGTCAAAATCTATGGGTCTTAATTTTAAATGTGATAAATATCTAGTGGTATTTTTTGGGATTTTTCTCTTGCTGTTGTTTGGGTCCTTTTTTTTTTTTTTTAATAATTTTGTTGTTTAAGGTAACTGGTTTGAAGTGTTCTTGTTATGACTGAGACATGGATATCGGATTGGTAGGCTGACCCTATCTTCTTCTTATGCAATTTAAGTACTATTAAAAAAATTATCTCTTTGGATAAAAAAAATTATTTTAGGCTAGATCGAGTAAAATTTATATTTCGTAACTTACTTATAATTTACAAGAAGTCAAGAGGAAAGACTTATCTTAGCAGTTTTTTTTGTAGATTTTTTTTTTTGTTTTTAATGATAAACTATTAATTTTCATATTTATTTCAACTTAATTTTTTTTTCTCATTTTCTTTATTTTTAAACTTTTTTTATAATCTATGAAATAAAAGGTAAATTAATTAATGTAATTTAGTAGTTATAGTAGTAGCAACAGATACAAGTCATGAATTATAAGAAAAAGAATAGTAAATAACAAAAAAAAAGTTAATTAAAAATTTAAAAAATATGACAAAATTACTTCTGAACCCAACTCACATGTTTGCACATGAAAAATAGAGTTTGAAAATAGATACTTATTATTTTAAAAATCTTATAATATATTTTGATTGTTATAAAAAGTAGTAAAGAGAAATAAAATTAAATAGAAATAAATAAATAAATAATGAAAAGAGATTATTTTGTTGATTTTAAATATTTTGTGGGTTATTTTTATAATTTTTTGATACTATTGACATATATTTTTGTTAAAAATTAACTGAAATCCCTTAAGTTTAACGGAAATTGGGCCAATTGGATGAAATTGGCAAAAATTTCAAACATAGAGGACAAAATTGGCTAACCAAAAATTAATGGGGTAAAATTAACGACACGGTTCAAAGAATGGGTACAACTGTCATTTTATCCGTAACGGAATGTGAGCGTAGGTGTTAAATCTAACGGAAGTTTTGTCAATTGGTTGAAATTGGCCATAAATTGAAACTGAGATGATGAATTTGGCTTTCAAAAATCTTTTTGGGTCAAATTGGCTAGACACTTGAAGATTTGGGCAAAGGACGAATTCCTCTAATTTTTTCAGTTTAATCAGTTGTGTTTAAGTATATTTAATTATGATGCACCTTCATTTTAATCCTACGATTGTTAATTAGACTAATTAATCTTACGGTTATTATCTTAAAACGGAACCGTCCCGTAACGAGACTCTAGCCGCTTCCATATATATATATATATTAAAAAAGAGTTTTCAATCGGATACATGACGAAAAATTAGATAAGGTAATCCACGTAGCGAAAAATTAGATATTCAATTCCACATTTCACAACCATATTATTCTATCATTTAATGATAATTTTTTGTTTGTAAAACTGTAAAATATATCAATAAAATTTTACCCGATTTAAACATAACTAAATATTAGTTTTTAATAAATAAATCCAAAATGCTTTTCTTATTATCGAAAATAAAAGTTATCCAAGTGCTATTCTTACGTGGCAAAAATTGCTTTGAAGGAACCATTTTTCCATGTGTGTTTCTTATTTTAATTATTTTATTTATTCCACTACACAAGCTTCACATAGTACTACAACTCAAAAGATAAATTACAATTTCTAAACCGAGAATTATTAAACTATCATAAAGAAGGTAGTTAAAATCAAATCTTAAAATTTGAATGCAACCAATAATATGAGCATCACTTTAAACAATATCCTGTGTAATTTTATCTTTGGAAGCGTCACGGGTAATAAACAGGTACATGATCTGTAACGAACACAAGCACATAAAAATATTTGCATTATTCAATTATAGTGTCATAAATAATTCAGTTAGACATGAAAAAGATGAAAGTAAAAAATAATTTTAGAATTATCTTCCGGATACAAGGGTCTTCAAATTCCATGGAGCCATGTTCTTGCTATCACTAAATAATTTTAGACCCGTCCGATGGACGGGGAAGACATACACATTTAGACATTTTTACATAAATTTTGTATTTTTATAAAATATGTAATGAATTCAGTTTTAAACATGATTACCTCTGGATTTACAGGAATTTATTTTTTTTTACATGACATTTTAAATTCATTGGTGATAATATTTATGCAGATCTCTCTAAAATTTGTTAGGATTTGGTACTCTCTCCAATCAATCTCTGTGTTAGGATTTGGTTCATGAAAATAAGGGTTCAGTTTTTATTATTTT